GCTGTAGCTGCCTACCGCAAAGGCAACCGCTTTGGACTCACGCTGCCAGACCAGCGGACTATGACGTATTCCGCTGGATTGAGTGGTGCGTCATGGACCGCATGCCGGTGAGTTTCTGCGAGCGTCCTCTCGTTCGTAAGAACGCCAAGATGGAGCCGATTTCGGCTGCAACGCTGCAGAAGTACATTGATCTTCTCTATACCTACGTCCGAGACGACTTTGCTCTCAAGCTTTCTGAGAAGTTTGGGGTGGTGATCAGGGATGGCCGCCACTTCATCGTCATGGCGGTTTTTGATGACCCAACGGTCTCGAAACCAAAGGAGCGGAATCCTAACTACGACGAGAGCATTCAGTGCCTCACACGCTGCTTCGTGCTACTGGCATTCTGTCCCCTTGGAAACGAAGAATATTGAGGAGCTCAGAGTCTGTTTGACCTCATAGCGGACACGCTGTCCACCTTCAACAGACCATGGGAATCGATCATCTTCATGATTGGTGATAATTGTTCGGTGAACCAGGCGATTGGTCGAAAATTGGGTGCACTGCCTTTTATTGGTTGTGCTAGCCACCGTTTTCAGCTGGCCGTGAACGACGTTTTGGCCAATGAAGATACGCTATTGGCCAAAATTCATGCACTGATGAAACATTTGAGCACGATCAAGTGTCGAGCTGCGTTACGGAAAGTTACGCCGCTGGCGTCTGCCGTGCGCAACGCGACGCGTTGGTTAATCGTGTTCAGCATGGTGGAGCGCTACACTAAGCTACATCCCGCACTACAATCAATGGACCACGCGACAATCTCCAAGCATAGTTTTGCACGCTTCGTGCTGTCGGAGAGTGAAGCTGCTTAAGCGACGGAGCTGCTGTCGACGTTGTTCGACTTCCAGGAAGTCACGAAAGCTTTGTTGGATCCCACTAATAGTGGTAGTCAGTCTTGTAGACAGACGTATAATTCAGAAGCAGATTTCTACCAATAATATGACCTGAACTTTGACACACTTTGCAGATTTGAGTTCAGACAGCAACGTGTCCTTTGGAACAAGGATCTCACTGCCAAGATGGCTAGGAAAAGCAAGAGAAGCAGCGTCCTGGCCGCAGTCGAGACTTTGCTGAGTGATGGAGACTCCTACGATGACGAGGAGGTGATGGGTGTATTAGCTTTATATCGGGACCTTCACTCCAGGCGAAGTAGGAACAACGCTTTAAAATTGCACCCCATAGCGTAGCTTGGTCGGCAATATCCGCTCCTGTCTAAGCAGGAAATCCTGGGCCGCACGGTATTTCGCTTCCAGCTTACTCACTTTACCACGGACTTGTCCCGGCGTCCTGTGCGAGATGTTGGCGGTCTCAATTGCCGCCGTGATCTCTTTCACTATGGACTCCTTAGTGTTGCCACTGGTTCTATCTGCGCCCCGCCAGCGATTGTAGTGTGTCTCCACCGTCATCCCGGCCATCAGCACGTCGAGAGAGGACTTTCCTTCGTCTACGCTTTCCTTGTCCCAGTACACGTTGGACTTCTTTCCGCTGTTCTTCGTAGTTGCCATGGTGGCTCGACGTGACGCAGACTCGGTTTAATGATGTATGCCACACTCTCTGCATTGCATATCCTCTTCTGAAAGGAAAAAGCTCCCCCAAGTTCGTCTGAAGTGCAGACGAATATAAGCCAATCAGTGAAGAGAGAGGTCGATTTTTTCTTCTGAATTCGACGTCTGTCTGCAAGTCTGCCTACCACTATTGACGCTAGTAGGGGTACGACGCGCTTTTGACTGGGTCTCACGCCAAAATCCGGGCAATGAAAGGAAGGTTGGCGTCTGATTCTGCGGTTGTTACTTACCCAGCGTTGGAGATTGACATCACCAAGATCATTGCTGAAGGCCATCTGACTACGCGCGAGCAATGGCCTGCAAAGGGTTTAAGGCCTCATCTGCTGCACAACCAACTGAAGAGACGACACGCTCGTTTTTGGGGGTCGTCTTTCAGAAAGCGACCCCAGCGCGTACTACGTACATGTCTGTGTCGTCGATACCTCCTACGTCTATTGAGTGCGAGAGATTTTTCTCTCAGGCGAAGCTGGTGTACACGGATATGCGTAAAAGCATTGATGTTAACCCGCTGGGAGTGTTGGTGTTCCTTTCCTACAATAGAGATGCGTGGGATGTAGGTAGCGTTCAAGCGATTCGGCGCAAAATGCACAACTAGAGACTGCATAATTGAATGATTATGTCATTGCTTTGTGAGGA